AATAGCCCTTTAACCGTACATTTGACAGATACGCCCGCACTGACTTTTTTGTAGATCTTATTGAGATACACGTGTGTGTCAATTTTTGTGTCAATATGACAAAGCGTACAGGCGTGACACTCAATCATGTGAATTTTTCACCTTAGGGGGCGCTATGGAGCCATTTTGCATTTGATTTTTTAGGCGACTTCAGAATATCGAATTTTTCACCAGGCCCGGTCGTCCTGCCAAATTTCATGACTTTTCACCAGTGGGAAGTGGGCCATTTTCCAGTTCAAAGGGGCAGAAAAATAACTAGGACCCCGTTGGGGCACTGGCGGGCCCGAGCCGTGTCGCGTCCCCCCCCCCCCCCCAACGTGCTGCCTCCCCGTCCCATTTGTGTCCTCTGGCCATCGCCCTCTCTGGTAACGCCCATCACTGCAAAGACCCTTTTCCTTCATCTGCGTTTGCTGTTCTTCCTGCCAGTGCGTGTTGCTTTCACTTACACTTGCCACAGCCAGCCTCGTGAGTGCCTAGCCTATTGGATATCACTGTCACCTACACAGGACAGTCATTACCTTTCTATTAATACTTTGTGTTTTAATTTCACATTAATTTCCATATTGTATAAACGACTGGAAAAAACTTGAGCCCCTGCCCCTGTATAATCATGTGCATGTCTCTGTTCTAGCTCCAAGGTGAATCTTCACTGCTCATGTTCTCCTCAGAAGCACTCACCTCACTCCCCTCAGGTTACTGTACACATGCACCAACTGCCTGCTTCAGGTTTGGATGGAGCTTCATGGTTGTCTTTTGGAGAAATGAGCAGTCAAGTTGTGTTTGAAATTTGATTTTTTTCAGGGGCAAAAGGAGCCTCTGCATTCTTGTCAAATATGTAAATAGCATGTTTTTGCAGGTGCTAAAAACCAGACTCTGAGTGTGTGTGTGTGTGTGTGTGTGTGTGTGTGTGTGTGTGTGTGTGTGTGTGTGTGTGTGTGTGTGTGTCTGTGTGTGCGTTCAAGTCACATGACATATTTAACCGGATGTAGCTGCAAGACAGAGCCTCGTTGACTCTCCGTTTCAACTTATCTCAAAAGTGAGGACCTCAACCTATATACCAGTTTTTAAATTGTGTTGATAGGCCAAATAAAACCAGAGTTATGATAAATTATGTCCGCGATACTTTTTTTCTGCTTATTTTGATCACGTTCGGCGCTCGATCGCGCTGTATGAGACAGGAAAACATAGCATGCAGACATTAGCGACAGCTCTTACAGGCGGAAAAGGCTTGCCAAAAGAAAAAAAAAACACACCACAACATCTCTCCTATTGGTGGAAAACTTCACCACAACAACCAATCCAAAATTATATGGTGACTGATTGACAAGGGGCGGGCGCTTACGTTCTTCCTGCAACATGAGAAGGGAGGGAGGGACTCTCAGCAGGGATGCAGTCTGGGACACGTAGTTGCAAACCTAGCGACTTTGTTGTTAGATTCAATGACTTTTCAGACCCCCTAACGACTTTTTTTTAGAAAGAAAGGGACTTTTATCGACTTCTTCTGGAGTTTAGAGACTCTGACATGAAGCAGGCTTTCCTTACTGAGGAGTTAGCAACGCTGCTAAGGGTGCAGAGCCACACATGCGCTCAGAGCTCTGCATGGGAGACTGAAGCTGACAGAGCTGCAGCAGTTAGCAGGTTTCACCCTCAGAGACCACCAGGGGTTCATGTTGAGGCATTTTAATTTATTTTTTTTTTTGTGCCATAGACACTGTCAGCACAATCTGCAGTTACACTAACAAAAATGCTGCAAAAAACAAAGAATTATGGAAAAATTACACATGGACTGACATAGAGGAGGATCTACACAAGTTTTTTACATCATGTTTTACATCATGCATCATTTACATCATGTTTTTTTGTAGTGGCATAAATAAAAAGTGACATTTGTGAGACTATACAGTGTTTTGTAAATAATTTTACAAAGAACGCCTGGGCCATTGCCTGCATTTTGATGTAAATAGAGGTAAATCACTATGTTCTTTGTTAAAAATTTGCATATGTTTTGAAGTTTACAATTTTTATTTGAAGTTTAAGTTTTAAAAACAGTTCATCACACATATTTGTGGTTTTCACAGTAAAAATGTTACTTTTTTCCACTCGGATTTTATGTTTTGTGTGTGAATTTGGGTCCATTGTGTAAATTCAGTATGTCAACATGATAAAATAACTGTAAATTCGCACAGGTGAGGTTGTCCTGAAAAAAATGATACCAGGCAAGGCACGTGATTGTCAAATTTTGTGTCAATATGACAAAGCGTATAGGCGTGAATCTCAACAATATGTATTTTCACCTTAGAGGACAAGAAAAAATGGACTTTTTTCTCCTGCCATGGGGGGGCGCTCTTTTGGGGAGTAAAAATTCCTTCACAAATGTGTTGATGGCTGGACATTGCATCATCCTAGAAAACTTGGAGGCCAGTGAGGACAAAAATAAAAAGTTATAAGACTTTTAAATATGTGGATTTTAGGGTTATCTTTGGCGCCACCTAGAACCTAAACCGTGGGGTGCAGCGACATGATTTTGATAACTTTTAATGGCCATGGGGTGTAGATTGGCCTGAGCAAATGTGGTGCCGGTGGAACGAAAGCCTTAGGAGGAGTTAGCGAAATTCCAATGTGTGCGGATCGGCAAAAAATGCAAAATAGCCCTTTAACCGTACATTTGACAGATACGCGCGCATTGACTTTTTCGTAGATCTTATTGAGTTACATGTGTGTGTCAATTTTTGTGTCATTTTGACAAAGCGTATAGGCGTGACACTCAACAATGTGTATTTTCACCTTAGGGGACAAGAAAAAATTGACTTTTTTCTCCTGCCATGGGGGGGCGCTCTTTTGGGGAGTAAAAATTCCTTCACAAATGTGTTGATGGCTGGACATTGCATCATCCTAGAAAACTTGGAGGCCAGTGAGGACAAAAATAAAAAGTTATAAGACTTTTAAATATGTGGATTTTAGTGTTATCTTTGGCGCCCCCTAGAACCTAAACCTTGGGGTGCAGCGTCATGATTTTGATAACTTTCAATGGCCACGGGGTGTAGATTGGCCTGAGCAAATGTGGTGCCGGTGGAACGAAAGCCTTCGGAGGAGTTAGCGAAATTCCAATGTGTGCGGATCGGCAAAAAATGCGAAATAACCCTTTAACCGTAATTTTGACAGATACAGCCGCACTGACTTTTTTGTAGATCTTATTGAGATACATATGTGTGTCAATTTTTGTGTCAATATGACAAAGCGTACAGGCGTGACAGTCAATAGTGTGAATTTTCACCTTAGGGGGCGCTATGGAGCCATTTTGCATTTTATTGTTTGGGCGACTTCAGAATATCAAATTTTTCACCAGGCCCGGTCGTCCTGCCAAATTTCATGAGTTTTCGCCAGTGGGAAGTGGGCCATTTTCCAGTTCAAAGGGGAGGAAAAAGAAGAAAGAAAGAAAGAACTAGGGCCCCGTTGGGGCACTGGCGGGCCCGAGCCGTGTCGCGCTGCCCCCCCCCAACGCGCTGCCTCCCCGTCCCATTCGCTACCTCTGGCCATCGCCCTCTCTGGTAACGCCCATCACTGCAAAGACCCTTTCCTTCATCAGCGTTTGCTGTTCTTCCTGCCAGTGCGTGTTGCTTTCACTTACACTTGCCACAGCCAGCCTCGTGAGTGCCTAGCCTATTGGATATCACTGTCATCTACACAGGACAGTCATAACCTTTCTATTAATACTTGTTTTTTAATTTCACATTAATTTCAATATTGTATAAATGACTGGAAAAAACTTGAGCCCCTGCCCCTGTATAATCATGTGCACGTCCCTGTTCTAGCTCCAAGGTGAATCTTCACTGCTCATGTTCTCCTCAGAAGTAGTCACCTCACTCCCCTCAGGTGACTATACACATGCACCAACTGCCTGCTTCACGTTTGGATGGAGCTTCATGGTTGTCTTTTGGAGAAATGAGCAGTCAAGTTGTGTTTGAAATTTGATTTTTTTCAGGGGCAAAAAGGGGCCTCTGCATTCTAGTCAAATATGTAAATAGCATGTTTTTGCAGGTGCTAAAAAAAGACTCTGAGTGTGTGTGTGTGTATATCCTGCAGTACTCTGAGAAGAATAATAAGCATATTTCTGAGGTGAATTTTGAAGATTCATCTGAGAGTTAGGAGGGCTGATCATTCCCTTACCTTTTAGATGTCTGTCTATGTCTGTTTTTGTGTGATAATGAAAGAATCCCAACTCAAAAAGGCTCTGTTGATGTTTTTTTTTTGTTGTTGTTCATTCATATTCAAACCACTATTTTATATCACTGCTAATACGCCAAGACCATTTTATGGAATTTAGCTTTATTATTTCTATACATTTTGCAAGGAAAGAAACCAAGGCCTTCACTAAAATTTCCATAAACTTTAGGAAAGGACCTCTGGTTGTTTAACGGGGTCATTACTGCAAAAACATATTCTTCCTAAATTTTGAAGGTCAAACCTTAGATCCATTAGGTTTAAATAGAAAAAGCATTAAAATATGTTAGGATTATAGCATATGACAAATATGTGCCTTTCAGTGGCCACAACTACTTTGTCTGCTGGCTCTGCAGTCGATTGACGCTCCCCAGCGTTCAAGTCACATTACATATTTAACCGGATGTAGCAGCAAGACGGAGCCTCGTTGACTCTCCGTTTCAACTTATCTCAAAAGTGAGGACCTCAAACTATACACCAGTTTTCAAATTGTGTTGATAGGCCAAATAAAACCAGAGTTATGATAAATTATGTCCGTGATACTTTTTTTCTGCTTATTTTGATCACGTTCGGCGCTCGATCGCGCTGTATGAGACAGGAAAACATAGCATGCAGACATTAGCGACAGGTCTTACAGGCGGAAAAGGCTTGCCAAAGAAAAAAAAAACACACCACAACATCTCTCCTATTGGTGGAAAACTTCACCACAACAACCAATCCAAAATTATATGGTGACTGATTGACAAGGGGCGGGCGCTTACGTTCTTCCTGCAACATGAGAAGGGAGGGAGGAACTCTCAGCAGGGATGCAGTCTGGGACACGTAGTTGCAAACCTAGCGACTTTGTTGTTAGATTCAATGACTTTTCAGACCCCCTAACGACTTTTTTTTAGAAAGAAAGGGACTTTTATCGACTTCTTCTGGAGTTTAGAGACTGACATGAAGCAGGCTTTCCTTACTGAGGAGTTAGCAACGCTGCTAAGGGTGCAGAGCCACACATGCGCTCCGAGCTCTGCATGGGAGACTAAAGCTGACAGAGCTGCAGCAGTTAGCAGGTTTCACCCTCAGAGACCACCAGGGGTTCATGTTGAGGCATTTTCAGTTTTTTTTTTTTTTTTGCCATAGACACTGTCAGCACAATCTGCAGTTACACTAACAAAAATGCTGCAAAAAACAAAGAATTATGGAAAAATTACACATGGACTGACATAGAGGAGGATCTACACAAGTTTTTTACATCATGTTTTACATCATGCATCATTTACATCATGTTTTTTTGTAGTGGCATAAATAAAAAGTGACATTTGTGAGACTATACAGTGTTTTGTAAATAATTTTACAAAGAACGCCTGGGCCATTGCCTGCATTTTGATGTAAATAGAGGTAAATTACTATGTTCTTTGTTAAAAATTTGCATATGTTTTGAAGTTTACAATTTTTATTTGAAGTTTAAGTTTTAAAAACAGTTCATCACACATATTTGTGGTTTAATTTCACATTAATTTCCATATTGTATAAATGACTGGAAAAAACTTGAGCCCCTGCCCCTGTATAATCATGTGCACGTCCCTGTTCTAGCTCCAAGGTGAATCTTCACTGCTCATGTTCTCCTCAGAAATAGTCACCTCACTCCCCTCAGGTTACTGTACACATGCACCAACTATCTGCTTCAGGTTTGGATGGAGCTTCATGGTTGTCTTTTGGAGAAATTAACAGTCAAGTTGTGTTTGAAATTTGATTTTTTTCAGGGGCAAAAGGAAGCCTCTGCATTCTTGTCAAATATGTAAACAGCATGTTTTTGCAGGTGCTAAAAAACAGACTCTGAGTGTGTGTGTGTGTGTGTGTGTGTGTGTGTGTGTGTGTGTGTATGTTGGCGTGTGTGTATATGTGTGTGTATCCTGCAGTACTCTGTACTCCTGCAGTGGCCAAAAAGACTTTTAAGAATGTGGATTTTTGGGTCATCTTTGGCGCCCCCTAGAACTGCAGTACTCTGTACTCCTGCAGTGGCCAAAATGACTTTTAAGAATGTGGATTTTTGGGTCATCTTTGGCGCCCCCTAGAACGTAAACCGTGGGGTGCAGCGCCATGATTTTTACAACTTTGAATGGGCATGGGGTGTAGATTGCCCTGAGCAAATTTGGTATCGGTGGGACGAAAGCCTTAGGAGGAGATAGCCACATTCCAATGTGTGCGAATCGGCAAAAAATGCAAAATAGCCCTTTAACCGTACATTATACAGATACGCGCTCTTTGACTTTTTCGTAGATCTAATTGACATACACATGATTGTCAATTTTTGTGTCAATATGACTAAGCGTTCAGGCGTGACACTCAACAATGTGTATTTTCATGTAAGGGGACAAGAAAAAATTGACTTTTTTCTCCTACCATGGGGGGCGCTCTTTTGGGGAGTAAAAATTCCTTCACAAATGTGTTGATGGCTGGACATTGCATCATCCTAGAAAACTTGGAGGCCAGTGAGGACAAAAAAAAAAGTTATAAAACATTTAAGAATGTGGATTTTTGGGTTATTTTTGGCGCCCCCTAGAACCTAAACCGTGGGGTGCAGCGTCATGATTTGAATAACTTTTAATGGCCATGGGGTGTAGATTGGCCTGAGCAAATGTGGTGCCGGTGGAACGAAAGCCTTCGGAGGAGTTAGCGAAATTCCAATGTGTGCGTATCGGCAAAAAATGCGGAATAACCCTTTAACCGTACATTTGACAGATACGCGCTCATAGACTTTTTTGTAGATCTTATTGAGATACATGTGTGTGTCAATTTTTGTGTCATTTTGCCAAAGCGTAAAGGCGTGACACTCAACAATGTGTATTTTCACCTTAGGGGTCAAGAAAAAATGGACTTTTTTCTCCTGCCATGGGGGGCGCTCTTTTGGGGAGTAAAAATTCCTTCACAGATGTGTTGATGGCTGGACATTGCATCATCCTAGAAAACTTGGAGGCCAGTGAGGACAAAAATAAAAAGTTATAAGACTTTTAAATATATGGATTTTAGGGTTATTTTTGGCGCCCCCTAGAACCTAAACCGTGGGGTGCAGCGTCATGATTTGAATAACTTTTAATGGCCATGGGGTGTAGATTGGCCTGAGCAAATGTGGTGCCGGTGGAACGAAAGCCTTCGGAGGAGTTAGCGAAATTCCAATGTGTGCAGATCTGCAAAAAATGCAAAATAACCCATTAACCGTACATTTGACAGATACGCCCGCACTGACTTTTTTGTAGATCTTATTGAGATACATGTGTGTGTCAATTTTTGTGTCAATATGACAAAGCGTACAGCCGTCATGTGAATTTTCTCCTTAGGGGGCGCTATGGAGCCATTTTGCATTTTATTGTTTGGGCGACTTCGGAATATCAAATTTTTCACCAGGCCCGGTCGTCCTGCCAAATTTCATGAGTTTTCGCCAGTGGGAAGTGGGCCATTTTCCAGTTCAAAGGGGAGGAAAAAGAAACTAGGGCCCCGTTGGGGCACTGGCGGGCCCGAGCCGTGTCGCACCCCCCACCCCCAACGCGCTGCCTCCCCGTCCCATTCGTGTCCTCTGGCCATCGCCCTCTCTGGTAACGCCCATCACAGCAAAGACCCTTTTCCTTCATCGGCGTTTGCTGTTCTTCCTGCCAGTGCGTGTTGCTTTCACTTACACTTGCCACAGCCAGCCTCGTGAGTGCCTAGCCTATTGGATATCACTGTCACCTACACAGGACAGTCATACTTTGTTTTTTAATTTCACATTAATTTCCATATTGTATAAACGACTGGAAAAAACTTGAGCCCCTGCCCCTGTATTATCATGTGCACGTCCCTGTTCTAGCTCCAAGGTGAATCTTCACTGCTCATGTTCTCCTCAGAAGCAGTCACCTCACTCCCCTCAGGTTACTGTACACATGCACCAACTGCCTGCTTCAGGTTTGGATGGAGCTTCATGGTTGTCTTTTGGAGAAATGAGCAGTCAAGTTGTGTTTGAAATTTGATTTTTTTCAGGGGCAAAAGGAAGCCTCTGCATTCTTGTCAAATATGTAAATAGCATGTTTTTGCAGGTGCTAAAAAACAGACTTTGAGTGTGTGTGTGTGTGTGTGTGTGCGTGTGTGTGTGTGTGTGTGTCTGTGTGTGTGTGTGTGTGTGTATCCTGCAGTACTCTGAGAAGAATAATAAGCATATTTCTGAGGTGAATTTTGAAGATTCATCTGAGAGTTAGGTTTGATTCGATTCGATTGACGCTCCCCAGCGTTCAAGTCACATGACATATTTAACCGGATGTAGCTGCAAGACGGAGCCTCGTTAACTCTCCGTTTCAACTTATCTCAAAAGTGAGGACCTCAACCTATATACCAGTTTTTAAATTGTGTTGATAGGCCAAATAAAACCAGAGTTATGATAAATTATGTCCGCGATACTTTTTTTCTGCTTATTTTGATCACGTTCGGCGCTCGATCGCGCTGTATGAGACAGGAAAACATAGCATGCACACATTAGCGACAGGTCTTACAGGCGGAAAAGGCTTGCTAAAAGAAAAAAAAAACACACCACAACATCTCTCCTATTGGTGGAAAACTTCACCACAACAACCAATCCAAAATTATATGGTGACTGAATGACAAGGGGCGGGCGCTTACGTTCTTCCTGCAACATGAGAAGGGAGGGAGGGACTCTCAGCAGGGATGCAGTCTGGGACACGTAGTTGCAAACCTAGCGACTTTGTTGTTAGATTCAATTACTTTTCAGACCCCCTAACGACTTTTTTTAGAAAGAAAGGGACTTTTATCGACTTCTTCTGGAGTTTAGAGACTCTGACATGAAGCAGGCTTTCCTTACTGAGGAGTTAGCAACGCTGCTAAGGGTGCAGAGCCACACATGCGCTCCGAGCTCTGCATGGGAGACTGAAGCTGACAGAGCTGCAGCAGTTAGCAGGTTTCACCCTCAGAGACCACCAGGGGTTCATGTTGAGGCATTTTCAGTTTTTGTTTTTTTTGCCATAGACACTGTCAGCACAATCTGCAGTTACACTAACAAAAATGCTGCAAAAAACAAAGAATTATGGAAAAATTACACATGGACTGACATAGAGGAGGATCTACACAAGTTTTTTACATCATGTTTTACATCATGCATCATTTACATCATGTTTTTTTGTAGTGGCATAAATAAAAAGTGACATTTGTGAGACTATACAGTGTTTTGTAAATAATTTTACAAAGAACGCCTGGGCCATTGCCTGCATTTTGATGTAAATAGAGGTAAATTACTATGTTCTTTGTTAAAAATTTGCATATGTTTTGAAGTTTACAATTTTTATTTGAAGTTTAAGTTTTAAAAACAGTTCATCACACATATTTGTGGTTTAATTTCACATTAATTTCCATATTGTATAAATGACTGGAAAAAACTTGAGCCCCTGCCCCTGTATAATCATGTGCACGTCCCTGTTCTAGCTCCAAGGTGAATCTTCACTGCTCATGTTCTCCTCAGAAATAGTCACCTCACTCCCCTCAGGTTACTGTACACATGCACCAACTATCTGCTTCAGGTTTGGATGGAGCTTCATGGTTGTCTTTTGGAGAAATGAACAGTCAAGTTGTGTTTGAAATCTGATTTTTTTCAGGGGCAAAAGGAAGCCTCTGCATTCTTGTCAAATATGTAAACAGCATGTTTTTGCAGGTGCTAAAAAACAGACTCTGTGTGTGTGTGTGTGTGTGTGTGTGTGTGTGTGTGTGTGTGTGTGTGTGTGTGTGTATCCTGCAGTACTCTGTACTCCTGCAGTGGCCAAAAAGACTTTTAAGAATGTGGATTTTTGGGTCATCTTTGGCGCCCCCTAGAACTGCAGTACTCTGTACTCCTGCAGTGGCCAAAATGACTTTTAAGAATGTGGATTTTTGGGTCATCTTTGGCGCCCCCTAGAACGTAAACCGTGGGGTGCAGCGTCATGATTTTTACAACTTTGAATGGGCATGGGGTGTAGATTGCCCTGAGCAAATTTGGTATCGGTGGGACGAAAGCCTTAGGAGGAGATAGCCACATTCCAATGTGTGCGAATCGTCAAAAAATGCGAAATAGCCCTTTAACCGTACATTATACAGATACGCGCTTTTTGACTTTTTCGTAGATCTAATTGAGATACACATGATTGTCAATTTTTGTGTCAATATGACAAAGCGTTCAGGCGTGACACTCAACAATGTGTATTTTCATGTAAGGGGACAAGAAAAAATTGACTTTTTTCTCCTGCCATGGGGGGCGCTCTTTTGGGGAGTAAAAATTCCTTCACAAATGTGTTGATGGCTGGACATTGCATCATCCTAGAAAACTTGGAGGGCAGTGAGGACAAAAATAAAAAGTTATAAGACTTTTAAGAATGTGGATTTTGGGTTATCTTTGGCGCCCCCTAGAACGTAAACCGTGGGGTGCAGCGTCATGATTTGTACAACTTTTAATGGCCATGGGGGGTAGATTGGCCTGCGCAAATGTGGTGCCGGTCGAACGAAAGCCTTCGGAGGAGTTAGCGAAATTCCAATGTGTGCAGATCTGCAAAAAATGCAAAATAACCCATTAACCGTACATTTGACAGATACGCCCGCACTGACTTTTTTGTAGATCTTATTGAGATACATGTGTGTGTCAATTTTTGTGTCAATATGACAAAGCGTACAGCCGTCATGTGAATTTTCACCTTAGGGGGCGCTATGGAGCCATTTTGCATTTTATTGTTTGGGCGACTTCAGAATATCGAATTTTTCACCAGGCCCGGTCGTCCTGCCAAATTTCCTGAGTTTTCGCCGGTGGGAAGTGGGCCATTTTCCAGTTTAAAGCGGAGGAAAAATAATAACGAAAGAAGGAAACATGCAGGAACAAGAGGGCTCTCGCAGCTGCTTAGCAGCTACGCTCGGGCCCTAACTAGGACCCCGTTGGGGCACTGGCGGGCCCGAGCTGTGTCGCGTCCCCCCCCCAACGCGCTGCCTCCCCGTCCCATTTGTGTCCTCTGGCCATCGCCCTCTCTGGTAACGCCCATCACTGCAAAGACCCTTTTCCTTCATCGGCGTTTGCTGTTCTTCCTGCCAGTGCGTGTTGCTTTCACTTACACTTGCCACAGCCAGCCTCTTGAGTGCCTAGCCTATTGGATATCACTGTCACCTACTCAGGACAGTCATTACCTTTCTATTAATACTTTGTTTTTTAATTTCACATTAATTTCCATATTGTATAAACAACTGGAAAAAACTTGAGCCCCTGCCCCTGTATAATCATGTGCACGTCTCTGTTCTAGCTCTAAGGTGAATCTTCACTGCTCATGTTCTCCTCAGAAGCAGTCACCTCACTCCCCTCAGGTTACTGTACACATGCACCAACTGCCTGCTTCAGGTTTGGATGGAGCTTCATGGTTGTCTTTTGGAGAAATGACCAGTCAAGTTGTGTTTGAAATTTGATTTTTTTCAGGGGCAAAAGGAGCCTCTGCATTCTTGTCAAATATGTAAATAGCATGTTTTTGCAGGTGCTAAAAACCAGACTCTGAGTGTGTGTGTGTGCGTGTGTGTGTGTGTCTGTGTGTGTGTGTGTGTGTGTGCGTTCAAGTCACATGACATATTTAACCGGATGTAGCTGCAAGACGGAGCCTCGTTGACTCCGTTTCAACTTATCTCAAAAGTGAGGACCTCAACCTATATACCAGTTTTTAAATTGTGTTGATAGGCCAAATAAAACCAGAGTTATGATAAATTATGTCCGCGATACTTTTTTTCTGCTTATTTTGATCACGTTCGGCGCTCGATCGCGCTGTATGAGACAGGAAAACATAGCATGCAGACATTAGCGACAGGTCTTACAGGCGGAAAAGGCTTGCCAAAGGAAAAAAAAAACACACCACAACATCTCTCCTATTGGTGGAAAACTTCACCACAACAACCAATCCAAAATTATATGGTGACTGATTGACAAGGGGCGGGCGCTTACGTTCTTCCTGCAACATGAGAAGGGAGGGAGGGACTCTCAGCAGGGATGCAGTCTGGGACACGTAGTTGCAAACCTAGCGACTTTGTTGTTAGATTCAATGACTTTTCAGACCCCCTAACGACTTTTTTTTTTAGAAAGAAAGTGACTTTTATCGACTTCTTCTGGAGTTTAGAGACTCTGACATGAAGCAGGCTTTCCTTACTGAGGAGTTAGCAACGCTGCTAAGGGTGCAGAGCCACACATGCGCTCCGAGCTCTGCATGGGAGACTGAAGCTGACAGAGCTGCAGCAGTTAGCAGGTTTCACCCTCAGAGACCACCAGGGGTTCATGTTGAGGCATTTTCAGTTTTTTTTTTTTTTTTTTTTGCCATAGACACTGTCAGCACAATCTGCAGTTACACTAACAAAAATGCTGCAAAAAACAAAGAATTATGGAAAAATTACACATGGACTAACATAGAGGAGGATATACACAAGTTTTTTACATCATGTTTTACATCATGCATCATTTACATCATGTTTTTTTGTAGTGGCATAAATAAAAAGTGACATTTGTGAGACTATACAGTGTTTTGTAAATAATTTTACAAAGAACACCTGGGCCATTGCCTGCATTTTGATGTAAATAGAGGTAAATTACTATGTTCTTTGTTAAAAATTTGCATATGTTTTGAAGTTTACAATTTTTATTTGAAGTTTAAGTTTTAAAAACAGTTCATCACACATATTTGTGGTTTTCACAGTAAAAACGTTACTTTTTTCCACTCGGATTTTATGTTTTGTGTGTGAATTTGGGTCCAATGTGTAAATATAGTATGTCAAAATGATAAAATAACTGTAAATTGACACAGGTGAGGTTGTGCTGAAAAAAATGATACCAGGCAAGGCAAGGTAAAAATTTTGTAAGAGGAAATATAAAGGTAAAATCTAAAGTAGTCAAAAACGGCCAATAGTGACTCACAGACTCCACAGACAAGTCCCTTTGGCGCCACTCAGTGGGCAAAACTACTTTGTCTACTGTAATGTATATTTGGGTCATCTTTGGCGCCCCCTAGAACGTAAACCGTGGGGTGCAGCGTCATGATTTTTACAACTTTGAATGGCCATGGAGTGTAGATTGGCCTGAGCAAATTTGGTGTCAGTGGGACGAAAGCCTTAGGAGGAGTTAGCGAAATTCCAATGTGTGCGAATCTGCAAAAAATGCAAAATAGCCCTTTTACCGTACATTATACAGATACGCGCTCTTTGACTTTTTCGTAGATCTAATTGAGATACACATGATTGTCAATTTTTGTGTCATTTTGCCAAAGCGTACAGGCGTGACAGTCAACAATGTGTATTTTCACCTTAGGGGACAAGAAAAAATGGACTTTTTTCTCCTGCCATGGGGGGGCGCTCTTTTAGGGAGTAAAAATTCCTTCACAAATGTGTTGATGGCTGGACATTGCATCATCCTAGAAAACTTGGAGGCCAGTGAGGACAAAAATAAAAAGTTAAAAGACTTTTAAAAATGTGGATTTTTGGGTCATCTTTGGCGCCCCCTAAAACGTAAACCGTGGGGTGCAGCGTCATGATTTTTACAACTTTGAATGGCCATGGAGTGTAGATTGGCCTGAGCAAATTTGGTGTCAGTGGGACGAAAGCCTTAGGAGGAGTTAGCGAAATTCCAATGTGTGCGAATCTGCAAAAAATGCAAAATAGCCCTTTTACCGTACATTATACAGATACGCGCTCTTTGACTTTTTCGTAGATCTAATTGAGATACACATGATTGTCAATTTTTGTGTCATTTTGCCAAAGCGTACAGGCGTGACAGTCAACAATGTGTATTTTCACCTTAGGGGACAAGAAAAAATGGA